CAAGGAATTGGATATATGCGAAGAGTACAGAATCATTCGGCGGTAATCTTAAGTTTGATAAGCCGAAGACCCAAGAGGCAGTATCAAGGATACTAAAATATGCTGAAGACAAGGAGAAGGGCTCATTCAATCCTTCCAGAGAGAGGGACGAGCTTAGCCTTGGCTTGGGAAACAACGAGCACACAGGCCGCAACAGGGGGCTAGGGGAAAAGGATGACCTGGAAGCACGAATTTGAAGAGGACAGGCACATGTACAAGAAACATGGCAGAGACCGAGAGACTAATCTTGAGCTCTAAGTGAAGGCTCTAGTTGCGAAGGCGTTGGAGGAGCAAGGACTGTCTATGGAGCCATAGATATTAATGGCGCCGCTGGAAGACCTGGCATTAGTTGGCAGCCCTCTGGAAGTTCCTAGCAACCAAGGTTCCACTGCAGCCACAACCCCCGTCGATCCCATACGGAAATCAACTAGTTGCACCTTGGTGTTTCTCAGCGGCTGGCAGAACATTGTGATGGAGGTAGCAACGGGTGTGGCACATCCTCTCGGTGGCTTACACCACAATAATAAGATACCACCAGACTACACTAGGGTCAAGGTGCATACCATGAAGCCTGAGTTCATACAGTGGAGGATAGACTACGCAACTCCCGAGGGGCTGGTGTTACTCAGAGACATAATGGGGCAGTTCATGCTCTGGCACAAATGGGACATTATATTGATTGCTTCTTCGTCGCCTCCCCCTCTCTCAAATTTGGAGCGAGTTGTTGAGGACGGAGAGATATTTTCACTGTCTCATGACCACCACATTCCTGAGATGCCACATTCTTCACCGCCTCCTAGTGAGCATGTGCCTGATAAGCCACAACCTTCTCCAGCTCATACCGAGCAAGTGCATGATGAGATGCCACAGTCTTCTCAACAAGTGCAGCCAATACATGAACAACGAGCGCCTCCTAAAGAAGGTGATGCACAAGAAGATGAGGACGTGCCCGAATGGAAACTTCGAAAGAAGCATCCAATCACCATAAGGCCAATTTATGTTTTGATAAAAGACGTTTCGTCGGTGCACAAGAGGTATGCCCATGACTAGTTCAAGCCTGAGAACCAAGTTAAAAAAGTCCCAACACGGGCTTCTGAGGAGACCATCACTAGCAAAGTCCACCAAACAGCAAAGAACTATCCAAATATTGATGCCATCAAATGGTCAAAGGATTGCCCGAAAACATATGAAAGAGGCAAGCCCTTCCTACCAAACCGGGACATCCAGCGCCTACCACTTGGAATGAGAAGGTTCCATGATTGGTACTTGCGTGTTCTCCTAACGAGCATAGACCTCATATAAGTATGCTTCCCCGTCGGCACATTTGGAAGCCCAGCCGGAAAAATTATCTTTGACTTCAATGACATGCAGACATACTTTCATCTCGGAGCAATGGAAATGAATCTAATTCGCACGTGGTGCCTGTAAGTCCTTGCCGTCCCGATATGATATGAATATAATCTTTGGATTTTGTTGTAACTAACCCACGCCGTGATTTGTAGAATGCAAGTGAACATTGTAAAACAAATGCCAAGTGTGAAAGCCGGGTAGGTAGACCCTCAAGCTATAGCACAAACAAATTTTAATTACCCTAGATAGTGGAAACTGGATGCCAAAGAGCTAGCTGCTGGGAAGACCCTCTGGGAGAAAGAGGACATCCGTGCGAAGAAACTAAGGCAAGAGTCCCTTAAGGTTTCGGCACACATTGCCCTGGATTTTAAAAATCTCCAACAATACTCTACTATATGGCTACCATACAACTTCGAGTAAGTTTAACTCTATACTTAAAACTTTGTTCGATATATTTTATTTGATGCAAAAGAGCTTATCTAGTTCTATGATTAAATTCATGTAGCAACCATTGGATTTATATAGGCGTCGATGTCGGGAGGAGCATGACATGGGTCTTTGATTCAATAGATAGGGACCCGGTGACATACAAAGACTTCATATCGATTCTCAAGACGTATACATATCGACAATCCTCATTAGCTTATATGTTTGTATACATACTTGTAACGTTCACTTTTGGATACTAACAAGTTGCATTTGCTAAAATAATTCGAACAAGTCATTCAGGTTCTATGTCAATGAACATCACGGAAGGCATAATCCAATAAGGAAGGAAAGGCTGGCTATAAAAACACTATGTGCGATAAGTTTAACTTACTTTAGTACTCCATTACATGGCTATCAAAAGCATTACTTAACATTTCTATATGCAAAACACACAGTGCCCTAAGCAGAAGCCTAGGAGTGTACATTGTGGATACTATGTATGTTCTGTGATGAGTAACACCGGTGCCCACAAGAGACACTCCTTAAAGGTAAGTTTGAACCTCTTCACCCGTAGTATAAAAACTTCGCACATGATATGAAATACTAAACCAAAACTTGTTCTCTTGTAGTGGAAATAAGAGAAAGAAATAAAAATAGACACATAAAAGGATGACCAACTCTTAGAGCTCGTCGGCGACCTTTGTAACTTCATATTGAACCAGATTGTATACGTCAAAGGCACATATCATGACCGAGATTCTGACTTAGGTAGAAATCCTCAGTACCAACACCTTCGTGAGACTCAAAGGCTAGCTCTAGGCCGTTGATAACAATGTGTATAAAATTTGACATTGGACTTACCTTGTGGGATGGTTTGGACTTGTGAAATAAATTAGACTTATGAATTATGTCTATTTAATGATGGATTGTATATATTCTTGTGAATTGGACTTGTAATGGTAGTTTATATAATGCTCTTGTGCTTGTGGTCAGATTTGAATTATATATGCATATATATATATATATGTGTGTGTGTGTGTGTTCTGGTCGAATTTGAATTATAAAATTGATTTTTTGGCAGAAAAATGTACTGGTAACACCAGCCGCCCCTACGAAATCGATTTGTAGGGGCGGTCTGGGAACCGTCCCTATAAATGTATAATTTGTAGAGACGGCTTGGTAGGAGCGGCTGCCCAAACCGCCCCTACAAACCCTCTAAAACCGCTCCTACAAACCCTGTGTGACGTAGTGAGTGGAGTCAGGAGCAAGACTCTAGAGGCGACCATCAGGGTTGGACTGTCTCCAACAGGTGACCCATAAGGGCACCCAAACGCAAAATGGGTCTTCGACAACACTGTATCAGCTTCCAACAGAGTACCTATATAAGAGATCTATTTTGGGTGTTAGGAGAGGCATAACCTAAATTTGAGTATCCTCTCTTTTGGAGACCCATTTGCAGAAAGGGTTCTCTTTTGGGTCTTGTTATTGGAGAAGATAAAAAATGGGTATTGAAACATTTGCCTATAGCGCTACCCAGACGTGAAATAGGTCTTGTATTTGGGTTCCCATTGTTGGAGATAGTCTTAAAGAGATTTTACATTTTTTTGGGAAGATTTCACATAAGGCACTAGAATTGTGGGCCTTAGTGGGCTGGCCCATGCATTAATCGAGCCATGCTCAGGTCAGCAAGTCATGGCTAGGAGGTCTAGGCACGGCACGCAGATACAGGTCGTGATGGCCCGAGCTTGAGCACTAACGGGACGTGTAGTGCTCGGGCCGGGTCTTAGCAGGCCATGCCTCGTGCCCCCGATTAAGCTCAGCCCATTCGAACATATATACTACTAAATCACAGTATCATGAGTAATTGATATTGAAGATGCTTAGATAGAGAGTTTGGACCGGGAATAGCAAGAACTTAAGTTGGGAGGCAAGAACAGCAAAGAGGGGGTTTCCGGGACAGATGTAGGCCATGACTAGTTCTTGGTTTGGTTCATGCCCCTCCTCGGCATTCTCAGATCCTTGCATGTTGGAGCCCCTAGAGCCTTGTTTTTAGTTTGGGTCGACTTTACAGCCTAAGTTGGGCCCACTCAGCCGCATAGTCCATGACAACATATATCTACAGTTGCCCGTTTCATTTATGTTAGGCTCATTGAAGATATGACAGATCATTGTCACTAATATCTATTAGTGTCATAAAGATAGATTGGTTGCAGCATTCAAATCAGGGCAAATAGAGTGGATGCGGTAGCGGCGGGGCATATCTGTGTGTTCATTTGGATGTCTAGATTCATAGCATGTTCCATGCATCCGGACACGCAACCTTGACACACGTGTCGTGATGCGGCAGCGGCAGGGCGTAGCAGCAGCAGAAACGTCGGACAACACACAACGATGGCACGGCTATAACTCGAGCACGGCCTCCGGCTTCGCGCATCAATGTTGGCATGGGACGATGCCGCTGAGCCGTCGTGTCCATTGACATGGCATGGCATGGCTAGGAGTGTCTAGTGCCATGCCTTTGTCGAGACTTAAGCACCATGAAATGACACGGCACGGTATTGTCCCACTATATCTGTGTGTTCATTTAGATGTCTAGGTTCATAGCATGTTCTATGCATCCGGGCATGCAACCTCGCCGCACGTGTCGTGATGTGGCAGTGGCGGGGCGTAGCAGTAGCGGCAACATGGGACAGCGCACAACGATGGCACAGCAGCGGTAACAACGATGGTGCGGCTATAACTAGAGCACGGCCTCCGCCCTCGTGCATCAATGTCGGCATGACATGAGCCCGCTGAGCCCGTTGTGCCCATTGACATGGCACGGCATGGCTAGGAGCGTCTAGTGCCATGCCTGGGTTGAGGCTTAAGCACGGCGATATGACATGGCACGGTATTGTCCCACTATATCTGTGTGTTCATTTGGATGTCTAGGTTCATAGCATGTTCCATACATCCGGACACATCCTATGTCTAGGTTTAGAGAATATTTGTTGGAATTGGCAGAAAATAAAAGATTAAAGCATCTGAATTCGATAGCAATATTAAAGGATACACGCAAACATGTTCATAGTTCAGAACGACAGAAATCACAGAACGACAGAAATAAAGCAAATACTAGTAAAGATACTGCAACACGGCACGATCTCCACTATTCAATACCGGACCCTGTTTCATTGGCATGATTACTCCTGATGTGGTGCGGCCTCGCCTTCAAGAGCATCCTGTACTGGGAAAACAGGAGGCCTAATGAACATGAATGGACGAACACTAATCAAGTAGTCATCGTCTGGCTCCCTCTGATACGCCTCCCTGATCTTGATATGCGTGTACACGACGATGCCAGTTATACCGAGCTCCAAGAACACGAACTCGGCATTGTCCCCAGCGCCGATCACCATTACTGTGGCGGCGTCCACATCCTCATCGCCTGCCGTCTCCCAACCCTGCTCCATGAGATGGCCACAAGTCTCACGCACGGAAATGGTGTCCCTGAGCACCCATCCGTTGGTGCTGCCGCCAGCAGCACCAGCGCCGCCATGCCCGTGGTCGTCGTTCATCCTACGGAGCCAGACGTTGTTGAGCATGTTGTCCCCATCCACATGGAAGAGGTAGAGGACAGAGTCGTCTCCCCGACAGTGGACAAAGTTGCCTGGGTACTGATCATGCTCCACACCCTCAGGGAGATCGACGATGAAGAATCCCTTGGTGGCCAGTTTCAGTCCCAGGATGTACCCCCCTTGGGTCGCCATGTAGATCTTGCCGCCGGCAAGCACAGTAGTTGGCAGGATCTGGACCGGTGACTTAGTGAGACGATCTGTGGCTATGCAGTGGATGCCCCAGGAGCCGGACCGCAGGACACACACCATCACCGTGACCGTATTGTCCGATGAATCCCAGGTGCGGACGTTGACGCGGTAGCACAAGGCGGCTGCGGCGGCCGCGGGAGCACCACGGCCTTATCCATGTAAGGGTACAGCAGTGGGGAGCGCACAGCGATACCAGCGTGGTGGAAGGTCTCGCCGCCGAACTCGAAGAGGACGATTGCATTTCGGCAGTCCCAAACGTTCGGCACCGGCAAGTTGCCGAAACCGAAGTCGGCATGGTTGAGTACATCAGGTTCCAGGAGGGGGATGAACTCCGAGCCAGAGATGCCGCAACTGGAGACATAAACCCCGAGTAGGCGCGGCCGGTGGCGCACACAGAAGTCAGGGACGAAGAGCCCGGAGGCGGCGCGCAGCCAGTGCTTGCTGGTGAGCGCGGCACTAACGAGGCAGCTCCGGCATCCGAAGCGGAGAAGGATCTTGTCAAGGAGATCTCCGTTGGTGAGCACATCGGAAGCGGTGGTGTCTTCCTCTGCCGGAGGAGGCGGTAGCTCCATCACGTTGGAGGACATCGCTCTGCCACGAGTTTCTTGGGTTCCGTCACCGGTTGGTCTAGGGATCAGGAGGTTTGGATGGAGGGGAAGGGCCGAAGAGCGAGGAGTCGGAAGTTCAATCAGATTGATATTGGACGGTTTTGTTTTTGGAAAGAGCTCGATTGGTTGCTCGACGCCTGGCGGTCCCCTTTTTATTGCCGCTAGAGGGTATGGAAAATTGCATTTCTGTCCTTACCTTCACTTTTTATTGCATGTTTGTTCCTAGTAATTCGGCTTGGCACTTTTTACATATAGCCCCCAAAGAAATGTTTATACAATTTTACCCGCCAAAGCCAATGAATTAATAGATTTCATGAATTCATGGGTATAGAGGGTTTAAGCATCTTTTTGGAAGGAGGGAAGGATTTAGGAGGCTAGCAATGAATAGGCCAAGGAATTATAGTCTTCTGCCCCCCTTCTATTTTGAATTTAGTTTTATCTTTTTGTTGGTTAAAAGAAAACTCTTCACATGACCATATTAAGAAATAGAGGCCATGGAGTATGTAAATTAAGTAAAAGCAACAAACAAGTAAAGTTAGAAAAAAGAACTAAACATGCAATTAGATGTCAAAGTATGGGTAGTTGTGCAATTATGCCTTATTTTGTGGTTGTCGCCCCCTCTGTTACCAGTCAAATGGAAGCCGTGTTATAAATAAATTATATAAAACTATACTGCAAACCTGCCTTTGGAATGTGACAGACAGTTGTGTCATACAATCCCAGGTCATCAGCCACCTTGTATATTAGCTGGAATCATGAAAATACTTTCAGATAATCACAAACATCGTATATGGAAGGAGTCATAAGTTAGGTGGATCAAGATAGTTCGTTGTGGTCAGCACGTCCGCTATATATAGGTGTCATAGTGTCGACACATTAAAGGTCTGCTACGGATATGTTGGTGTCGACACATTAAAGGTCGGCTAGGGATATGTTGGTGCCGACACATTAAAGGTCATGTTGGGCCATGGGCCTCGACAAGGTGACAATTCCTCCAAGACTCAGTACAAAGGGGCAACAACAAAGTTAGAAATAGAACCTAAACATGCAATTAGATGTCAAAGTAAGGGTACTTGTGCAATTATGCCTTATTTTATTGTCGTCACCCCCTCCATTACCAATCAAATGGAAGTGTATTATAAATAAACTGTATAAAACTATATTACAACAAACCTGTCTTTGGAGAACTAGGTGCGACGCTAGTTGTCTCATGCAATCCAAGGTCCCCAGCCGCGTTGCATATTAGCTGGAACATGCAAATACATTTAGATAGTCGCAAACATCGTATATGGAAGGAGTCATAAGTTAGGTGGACCTAGATAGTCATTTGTGGTTAGCACATACGTCGTATATAGGTGTCATAGTGTCGACACATTAAAGATCTGCTAGGGATATATGTTGGTGTCAGGCCATTAAAGTTCTGATAGGGATACGTTGGTGTCGACACATTGAAGATTTGCTACGGATATGTTGGTGTCGACACATTGAAGGTCTGCTAGGGATATGTTGGGCTGCCAACTCCTTGGGCCATGGGCCTCGGCAAGGTGACGATTCCTCTGACTTAGTACAAAGGGGCAACAGTACACAGAAGGGAGGGGGTATGAATTATTTAGAACCCAACAGTCTTCTTCCTTGACTCATCCTCATCGAGTCTTCCTTCTGTTGTTCATCTTCCTTCTCAAAATTCTCCTTGTAACCACATCTCAGATGTATCTCAAGTTTAGTTCTTCGATCCCATGCTTGCTATCTTTAAGTACTCCGTCGCTCAGATTGTATCACATCATATTACCAGTGTGCTGGATATTTGAGTTGTGTGATTAGGTTGCTAACAATTGGTACCAGAGACATAGATCCTAGGCTTCCTTGTCGTCACAACGCCATGCCTCTCGACTCCAAGCTCATCCTCGTGGAACTCGCCAAACTTTTCTTGAAGCAAGACGCGAAGTAGGATGCACGATGCAAAGTGGAGTGAGGGGGCCAACAAGCCTCTCAGCGAAAGTGGTAGTATTTCTAGGCCACAACAATGGGAGGCGTTCGCATGTGGGGAGTACAACATGGAGGCTACCTCAACGCATTGCACCTCCGACAGACCCAGTGAACCTGCCATTGCCATGGGCGCGAGCGTTAGTGCCACCACGTCATGTTCGGCATAGCCACCACTCCGAGCATTACCAACATGCAACATCACCAAGGAGATCTGTTAGGAAAATGGCACCTAGAAAGGGCCATATGTGATTTTGGTGGTTGAATGACAATATGATCATTTGGACTAATGTTGTTTGCAAGGATGGACTTCGACAATGCAATTTGAAAATCAAGTGATTTAAACTTCAAGGAAGGATGGAACTATTGTGAAGATCATATGAGTTATGCATGAAGTCCAAGACATCAAGTACTCAAAGCCCAAACCAGAAGACGCGAAGAATAGAACTAAACTGACTCTCCACAAGAGCACCAGATTTCTGTAGTGGTGCCCTAGTAGAGGCACTAGAGTAAAGGGCCAGAGAGGACCCTGACTATTCTAATCCTCGGTTTTGAAGACCATTGAAAATCGTAGGTGATGCCTAAAGCCTAGCACTAGAAGATCCACTCTGCACGCTGAGCGAACTACAAATACCATCATCCCACTTCGCTTCGTGTAAATAAAAGGGTTAACCCAGGGATGGTGGGATCGACTCTAGAAGCCTTATATGTTGCTCTAACCCACCTTTAATAACCAAGGTGAGACTAAACCCTTCATAATATCTTATTAACATATACATGGGCCACTATGGGCCAAATTCCAAACTAGGCTAGATGTCACATACACCGCCCCCCTCAAAGGGCCCGACGTCCTCGTCGGCACATCACACCCACAACCGAGCAAACGATGCCTAAGAACATTCTCTCTTAGCACACACGACCATGCGTCCTATGCCGACACTGTGCCATGCCGTGCACCCTGTAGGGTCTACACGCGGAATGAGCCCCATGTCTGCAACCCTCCTAAGTAAACCACACCTACCACCATCCCACTTATGCTTTCATCCTCGCTCTATGTAAAAGGATTAACCCAGGGATGGTGGGATGGACTCTAGGTGCCTTATATGTTGGTCTGACCCACCTCTAACAACCATGGTGGGACTAAACTCTCCACAATAATATCTCATTAACATGCACATGGCCACTATGGGCCAAATTCCAAACTTGACCTCGACCCGACCGATTACCAAGTACTCGAGCGCCCGCCATGTCTTTGTTCGATCACCGTCTAGACTACGGTCAACACAATCTCCAGCACCATCTCACATGGACTAATGCTTTGTGGCTGTGCCCAAATGCTAGCTGTTCATGATCTATCCTGTGGCCTTTTGTCCCTTGGTCTAAGCCTTCTTGACCTCCCTTCACTCCTCCCGTTCCATTGTACACGGACTCCTCACTTAACCTTCTCCGTCGCCATCAACCGCAAACACCTACACATCACAAGCCAAGAGACATGTTGCACGACACCAATTTATGCCTTAGTCCACCACATCAAACCAATGTTCAACCATCTTCTTCAGGGCCGTCTCAACAATTTCTAGGGCACTTGGGCAAGCAAGACACTAAGGGCCCGATAATCTAATGTTTTAATATGACGATTAAAGTATATATAGTACTATTAATAAGAGACTAACTTGCAACATATATTTAGTTCATAAAAAAACAACAGTGCACCAAAGAAGCTAATAGAACGGTAAAATAACTATTATGGTTACCTTAAATAAAAAAATAGCTTCAGTGCTTTTTAAAAAAACCACCTTTGAGTATTTCTTGATGCAAAATCTTTAAGGACAATATCAAGTGCAATTATTGGCTGATCATGTTCCTGCCCGGCCTGATCTCGATTGACTTCGGGATTACTAAGTTGGAAAAAACTTATGTATGGCACCCTTTTGCGATTCTATGAACTGATCTTCTTGTTTTCTTTTTTTTCTTTTCTGAGCTCCAGACAAATGTTTCTTTGGCAACATCTAACATGTTCAAAAAATATATTGAATTAGAAATATAGAAAATTAGATCAAGCCCTATGCCCCTATCCCTATATCTGATAAACTGAACTGCAACTGCAATCACTTACTGGCTGCGGCAGTGCCGCCCGCTGGCTGCAGGCCGATAGCAGGCAGAGGCAGGATTAAGGGAACGCCGGCCGCTGACCTGCAGTCCTGCACGCTGTCACCGCCCCCGCGAAGCACGCCGTCACCGCAGACTCGCGACTCGCGATTCGGAATAGAATACGAAGGGTCGCGGCCTCAAGAGTACGTACGAAGGCATGCAACGAGCGCAGGGCCGCAGGAGGCAGGATCAAATGGACCGTATTGCTATTAGCCTGAATACATGTACTACGTAGGGGTATACTCATGGCCCCCAGTGTCATGGGCCCCCGGCCGTTGCATAGGCTGCCCCCCATGAGACGGGCCTGATCTTCTTGACAATCACTCATCATTCGTAACATGTGTTCTCAACTATGTACTGGGTAAACAACTCTTCAACGAAACGGCCAGACTTCTTTTGTGCTTTGGACTGAGATCCAATGGTCTAGATCTTGTTTATATTTTTCTTCTTATTATTATTTTTCTTCGTCCAACATGCTTTGTGAAAAATGCCGCACTGACCATTTGAGAGCCTCTACCCAATTTTCATCCACCACTGGCCTCAACCTCTCCATAGCCCATCCTTCCTCCTCCCTTCTACATGCTTGCGTGCCCGTGTCACCCTATCCGTCTCTAGCGGGGCGCCATTTTATAGGCTAGCTGTCGTGGTAGGTGGGAGCAGTTCTCCTGCTGTGGTGATCAGCTGGAGCACTGCTGGCCCGTGGAGGGAATATTCTTATCACTGTCGTTTTTGATAAAAAACGGACAGTGATATGGGTCATTAGTACTGGTTTTTAGAACCGACAGTGATTCCATGTATCACTGTCGGTTTTTATGAAAAAACCGATAGTGATAGGCCTGACAAAC